TGTAATGATAACATACAGAGCAAACAAATATAAAAAATGTTTGTCAAACGAATCTCGACAGTCTCTTTTCAGTCTTGTAGCAGATCTACGTGTCGACTGTCTTGTCGATCCACCGCTCGGTGGAATGACCTCGTTATACGGATTAGTGAGCTCTAAGACGTGTGTGAAGATTGGTGAGGTGCGAAACGCCAGAAAAATGTTGATACTAGAAACCCAAGGGCTACAAAATCGAAGCCCCGATTGCATGATTTCAATACGAGTACCTCAGTTATGTCTGGGGTATGAATCATTTCATATTGTTGCAAACCAGCGCGAAGGCAAAAAACAAACAAACAAGGGGGTATCCCATGTCTTTAGCAACGCATCTCCCTTTCTCAAAAACACCAAAAGAATTGAAGCTGGTGGGTTCCCCTATTGCTCATCATGCCACCAGCGCCGTCCACTCCACCAAACTCTATTCTCTCTCTTTTCCGCCGCAGCCGTTTGAAAGTCGTGATAGTTGTACAATAAAAGAAAACCCAGGACGTCAGCAAAGAAAACAACGGCCACTGCCCCCCTTAGTACGATCGGGCATCCAGCTCTTGGGTCAGCGCCCGGAGGCGGGCTGTGAACTGGCTGGCCTCTGCACCGTGCTCCAAGTTTTCGGCCTTTCCGATCTGGTCGTGCAGAGTGATAAATTGCCGGATCGACTCGAGAAGAGGGTTGAGGTTGCCGCTCGGAGAAAGCAGTTTAAAAGCCTGGTAGATGGGGTCATGCAGACAGAGGTAGCCGAGTAGAATAGAGAGATACGCAAACGCCACGTTAAGCTGTGACTTTTCTTCCGAGTCGGCCTACATTACGTTAGCATTCGCATTTAGTAGCAGGAAAAAAAAACACCACAATAGCAGTCATTGCAGTGAAAAAAAGGGAGGTAGAAAGGCTCACCTCAGATGCAACCGCAGTGCCGTCAAGGAACGCTTTGCCAAGCCGGTCAAAAACGGCCAGGCCACCACCCTGCTCCAGGGTCTCGCCCGCAGCAGCATCGTTCTCCGAAAAGTTAATCATCACACCGAGCATGAGCAGTAGCTCGTTCAGTGCGTCAGAGGCAAACTCTTCGCCCGTCTTCGCCGAGCGAACAACACCAGTAAGGGCGCCGGAGCTCAGTTCCGCGAGCTGCCGCAGCAAGCCCTTGTCCACATAGTATCGTGCAGCATCCGGGTTGTTGTTGGCCGTGTTAAGCGCCAACTTCAAAACCAGCAGCTCGAGGTCGTTAAGGCGTAGACTGCTCTGTTCATGACGCTCCAGGGATTCGCCTAACGCGCTGGCGATGATTGGTAGGTAGTGCCGTGTCCACTCGGCACTGATATCAGACTGCATAGCTGACACGGAGTGCATCTCCAAGAGCGACAGCGACAGGAAGAGATCCGCCGAGTCGGCATCGCTCGATAGCCCAGACGCGAGAAGCGGGGGCTCAGGTGTCGACCCGTCGTCGTCGTTAGCTGAGGGAAGAGCAGACGAAATAATACCAAACAGTTCCTTGGTCAGTGCCGCAGATAAAGCGCCGTCGTCCTCGTCGATGCCACTCACACCACCAGATTCGGACTGCAGTTGCTGCGCAAACATGTGCAGAGCCTTCAATGCCACCGTCCGTGGCGACAGCTGCGATGGAGGGCCAGACGCAGGCTTCCAAATGGCCGACAGCTTCCTCAGTGTCTCCTTGAGCGTGCCCAGCTGCTGGCGCATATGATTGGAGACATTGGCTTTCCGATCTTTCGAGAAGCTCACAATATCCGAGTCGGTCGCAAGGAGAGTCAGGAACAGGTCTTTTATTTTGTGCTGGCGAAGCTCGCGCAAGAGGCGGTGAGATGCTGAGCCACTAGCCAGAAGCGTGACGACAATACCGGCAATGGTATATCCAGCAACGACGTCCGTTTCCTTCCCAACATTCCGGAACAGTTGCATCTCGGCACCCTGGTCCCTGAAATGGCGTAGGAAGGACTTTTCCTGGAGCTTGTGGACCATCTCGAGGAGCGCGGAACGTCTGGCCGACGATGGCTTGCCAGAGCTCGGCGCACCAACGCGGTCCATGATGTCGACCAGCTCATCGGCATACCGGCTATTGGCGCCCGCCTGGCGAAGCTCGTGAATGCTCTGGATGGCACCTTGTGATGCCCCACCCATATCCTCATCAAAGTCAAACGCAGCCGGCTTCGCTTCGGGCTCAGGAAGCAGGCTCTCCAACAGCGACAGATCGCTGCCCTGAGGTCCACCCAGCTCCACCGGCTCCTCTGCCAAAATCGTTCTCTCCAGGTTGTACGTAAACTTGACCCCGGGCCGTCTTGTCGTGGTGCGCCGCGTGATCGTAGCCGGCGTCGATGGAGCGATCGAGACTTTGCTGGGCGATGCTGTCGCCAAGCTGTCCAAGTCCATGTGCCCTCCCCGGCCCTCGCTAACGGGCGTGCTGCGTACATTTCGGTATCTCGCCAAGATAGGGTCTTCGTCGCTGCTTGCATTGCCTTCGCTCTCGTCTTTTACAGCGGGGTCTTCGGCCGGTTTGGCTTCCTCATCCGAGGAAGACTCGTCTTCGATCTGAGAGGCAAGGGTATCGATCAGACGGCGACGTTTTCTTTGCGTGGACGGCGGCGGTTTATAAATCTCCCGCGCAACTGATGCTGGTCGCTGAGGTGACTTTCGCGGCGTCGCGTGGCCGCTGTTCGAAGGTAGGTTGTCCACCGGACGGATGGGCATCGGGTGAGGCGACTTTGAACCCGATTTCCGAACGGCCGTCGTAGCCGATACGGCAGCAAACTTTGATAGCGTCTTTCTTGGTGATGCCGATGGCGAACGGATACCCAGGGGGCTCTTCAACCCAGCCGGTTCTTTTGGTGGAGTCTTTGTAGCGCGTTGACGGGGCGAGCTGACCGGCCGTGACGAACTTGACTCTGTGGCCTTTCCAATCGCTTTGCTTTGTCTAAAGAGCGGAGATGACGCACCGACCGAAGTAGGGCCTGGGCTGGGCGATCTCCGCTGGACCTTTTTGGCCTGTGTCGAGTATGAATTTCTGCTGACGGGAGGAGACGAAGCAGCAACGCCAGCAGCCGGACGTTGTGCGCCGGCACTGGGACGCTGGGCACTAGCACTCGGACGTTGGGTGCTTGTACTTGGGCGTTGAACACTTGCATTGGGGCGCGACATAGGCGTAGACTCGTTCGGAGAGGGCTTCCGTTTCACACCGCGCACAGCGTCGAGCGTCTCCCGTGTCGTATTGCCTCTCTTAATAGTAGGAAGATGGCGCGGCGTAGCAGTAGACGCCGGCATCGGTGATGGAGCGAGACCCGTGCTGGCTGTGCTTTTGTTGCTCGGTCGGGGAGTCGTCAATGGTGGGCGTGCGGAAGACAAGGGTCGCGGTTTCGTTACGGATTTCGGTGGTGGCGGCACATCGTCAACAAAGTCGTATTCGTAGATGTCCTTTGCCGGGGTTTGTGAACCAGACTGAGAGGACTCCGACGCGCCGGTGATGGGTGGTGTCGATGTTTGCGACCGGGATTTGAGACCCGGCTTGCCGTTGAACGTCGTTGGGGGCTTCTTTTTGGGGCGCTGGCCCAGATCATTGAATGTCGACATTATCTCAAAACAAGACGCGCGCAACCGCCCCTGGGTAAATCAATCGATGCAGAGCCGCTTCGCGAAGTCCAATCGTCTTGTCGGTGTCCGATGGCTGTCGATGATGTTCGAAGAAAGGAGAGGCGCGATTCGAATGGCGCGCAGGCGAAGCTAGCCAGTTGTCCAGTATAGAATCGTGCCCCTCAGAACTAGACGATCACGCGTGATGAGTGCCACATAGATTATGCTGCCATGGGCGAGCGCTGTTTCGACAGGTCTGTAGTTGGCAAGGCGAAGGTTGGCGTCGCGATACGTGAATGTGGCCGTAGTGAATATAAATGTTGGTGGGCGGTAAGGAGAAGAGTTGGCGCGTGAGCCGGGGCCGATCACAAATGGAAACAGAAGGCGCAACCGTGTGTACCAAGCAGGATTGTCTCGGAGAAAGGATGCCGCGAGAAGGTGCGATGGGTGCCAGTGGTCGCACGACACAAATGATGGGGTAGGGAAGGAACGATTGTATCATTAAAGATTGTTTACAAAAGAAGCCAGGATCCTGCTTTCCGCGACAAAGGACAAGTGAAAGCGGCACAGAATTGCACAGAATTGGGCTTGATTCTCACTGGGCCGAAGGTGGCTTGGCTACGAACTGGCCAATGGGGCCGAGATGACTGTGATGAGGCCTGTCGCAACGGGGATAGGCCACAAGCGCCAAGTAACAGCCACTAGAAGCCTTCCACTTGGGAGCGAGCCACTGGATTAGTCATTATATTCACGGTGTATATATATACACACTGTATTTATGCACTGTATTATTAACCCACTCTCCCCACTCCGCCGCTTTTGCAAAAGATAAGTGCGGACAGGTTGGCGCCAGCATCCGCACAAGATACCTGCTTTGAGGAAATCCAAGCCCGTGTCGCTACATCATTTTGCGGTTACAGCTTTATCGGCATTCGTATTACTTGCGTATATTAGTCGTGGCAGTAAACAGTAGCACTAGGCGAGGCTTAGCTTGTTGGGGGGTTCCTTGACTTGGAAGGTGCGGCGGGCAAAAAAAGGCCGAGATAAAACGACTGGGGCAGTAGACTAGGCGACCGTAACGGTTTAGACTCCCGTCTATTGAAAAGTTCACAACCAACAGAGAAAGCTTTAACACAGGTCATGCGACATTCTTCGAGATAAAGATAAACCACAGCTCACCGTACGTGCATGCAGCTTTACAGATAAAGCTCTGTACCCTCCCTCGATCAATCACACCTGGCAGTACCCCGCAAAGAGTAGACGGTACAGTCCAACATTGTGAATTGTGAATCGAGACCACTCACGAACGGACGCCAGCTCTTTCACGTGCACATTACAACATCGTGAGCTTCTTTTCGAACTGTTTAACTTCGGGAGCTCCCTCTACCTCCCCGGCAATGGCTTCTAAGACCACCGCTACGACGCAGTGCGTCGGCCCCAACTACCGGATCGGGAGCCAGAACCCCACGGCCACTGTTTCGACACCAGTCAACTTTGAGACCGTGACGGTGCTCCCACAGACGCCGCAGCTCATTGCCCTGCTTTCGTGAGTGTCTGAGCATCTGGGTGGCACCGTGCGATGAGTAGCCAGTGTCACCTATACTAACACAACTGCATAGCATCATCCGCGACAAGAACACTGACCGCGGCGACTTTATCTTCTACTCAAACCGCATTATCCGGTTGCTGGTGGAGGAGGGCCTCAACCACCTGCCTACGGTCGAACGAGAGGTGACGACGCCCGTTGGCCGGCCGTACGCGGGTCTTCAGTTCCAGGGCAAGATTTGCGGTGTGTCCATCATGCGTGCTGGTGAGGCCATGGAGCAGGGTCTTCGCGACTGCTGCCGGTCGGTGCGCATTGGCAAGATCCTTATTCAGCGGGACGAAGAGACGGCTCAACCCAAGCTATTCTACGACAAGCTGCCCGAGGACATTGCCAACCGTTGGGTGCTACTGCTGGACCCCATGTTTGCAACGGGCGGATCGGCCATCATGGCCGTGGAGGTGCTCAAATCGCGAGGTGTGCCTGAGGAGCGGATACTGTTCCTTAACCTGATTGCCAGCCCCCAAGGCGTGTCCAAATTTGCCAGCAAATTCCCCAAGCTGCGTGTTGTCACGGCGTTCATCGACGAGGGCCTCGACGAGAAGAAGTATGATGCGACCCTCTCGCTATACAAGAGTTTGCGTTTGGTTATTCTTGTCGTTCACACGCTGACATATCTTCACACAGCTATATCATTCCTGGACTCGGCGACTTTGGCGATCGTTACTACACGATGTAATAGTACAAGTATCCGTACAAGCAAGCCCAAAGTAGGGACAGGTGAAAAAGAAAACAAATATCTCCAGGCCTTTCCTAATAACGCCAACCATCACCGCATCCGTTTTTGACCCTGCCTCCCTTGCAACCAGTCTTTTGTATGAATCCACATGAATCCAGTTCGTGTATTCTTCCATGAAACCCCTTCGTTTTTGCATTTCAGAAATCACAACATTGTAGCACAGCTGGTAGCAGTTTGTAAACCTAGACAGGGTGTCGTTTGGCATTGTGCGCCTTCCCACCACCCTCAACTGATACCAGTACGGGGCACATACGCGGCATATCAGTATTCATCGTCGTCCACAATGCCTTCGCCCGCGTATCGTCTGTCTCCGCCATCGTCGTCGTCGTCAATGTCTCGCGATGATGGGCCTACGCGGCCAGGCGCATAGCGACCCGAATCGGCGAGGCCCAGTCGGCCACCACTGGTCTCATTCTCGACTTTCTCCTTGGCCACGGAATCTAAAGGAGTTTGTGTCAGTCGGCGTATCGTTTGTTGACGCAAAGGCACGCGCACAAGAAATAACGCGAAGAGGTTCCCCTTACCGGCTGCATCTACCCACTCGCCGTAAACATCAACGGCTGCGGAAAGATCTGTCCAAAGTTAGCTGCCATCCGCCTCCTATTCCTTTTTTATTTTTGTTTCGAGACAGGTTCGCGTATTGGCGCACGGAACGTACAGTTGATGGCGCATTGGAACTTCTGGCCACAGACCTTGCATTCCAGATAGCCAATGCCGAGTTTCTTATCAAGCTTCACGGTGACAGACTTCTCGTGGTTGCAGAAGAGGCAGGTAAAGGTCGTAGGGAGAGGGACAGCCTATCAATGTCAGCAACGAGGTTCGTGCCTAGCTGGAGAGGGCCGCCGCCCGGGCCGAGAGCATGCGCAAAGAGCTGAACAACCTACCTTCTTGGGTCCCTGAGGTTTGCTGGAGCTCTTCCGTTTACCCATGTCGAGTTGAGAACTCCGGCCGTCGGAGGGTAGAGAGGGACGAAGGGAGGGGACGCTTGAAGGTTGTTTTCGAGGTGGGGACGAACGACAGGGACGATTAACCGCAGATGGATGAGGCCCGTCGTGTCGCGTGTCGTGAAAGGGCGGTGACTCTGGATCGCTGTAGTCCCAACGGCTGCTTGTTCGATTTGCGCAAAACACATTGCATGCGCATTCGTGTTGCGGTTGGCTGGATTAGGGGCGCGGTCGGGGCAAGAGTGATGTGTTTTAGGGGAGTAGTCAGCAAGCCAACAACTGCAACTACAATACAACTAGCGCTTGTCGCCTGTCGCAGGTTTGCGCTGTGTGCGTGCCCCTCTGCCACTTCACCAGGCGGTGAACTACTTCGTAACCCCTCTGTCGCTCAGAGCCCAAGACCATTGCAGGCAAGACATAACCCCAGTTGATTGTCATTCGCTCGCACGGCTGTACCTGCTCCTCCGAGTAGGAACGAGCTGTCTCCACTTTCTTGCCTGCCCAGCGCAGTTCGGACTTCAGAAACGACGGTTATGGGCGACCTGTCGCCCGCTCACCTGTCCCGCGCCGTGTCCGTTTTAGGTTAACTGCTTGTGGACCCCGTGATTGATAGCAGCATTCCGACAGGTTTGAACACAACCAACGACCAAGGGATGTTGCTGATAACAGCCAAAAATATGTCACATGCCCTTACCGGCTGGGTCCGGTCTTGGACATTGGGTGAGTCGAAGAGGTGTCACTTTTGTCTGACAGCAGGAAGCAGAGAAAGCGGTGGCTTTGTTTGTGAGTTGCTTGACGCCGATGCGGGCAGGTGCGGCAAATGAGAGGCCAGTGCACTGCCTTCTCACTCACCTTGAGTGCGTTACTGATGTGCGCAGCTGATGCACGCAGTTCGCACTTTCCAAATCACTACATATAGATATGATATCGTCCAATGTCTCCGTACTTGTAGTATGCTCCCGCAGTCAACTATTGCTTATCGGTCCCTTCCCCGCCTGCTATCTATCCTCACATCGAGCTTGGCCACCTCTCATCCTCTAGCAAATCGTCCGGAGCTGCCCCGGTCAGCCGGCCAGCTTCCGCGTCTTGGGGAGCGCTTGATTTCTTCCGGATATTCCGTTATCTTGGTTGTACGGAGTATACTACTATTGATTGCCCTGTTGAACTCTTCCCATTACCCAGCTCTCTCTTTTTACAACAAGAATCGGAAGGAGCTTCCTGTGGTCGTCGGTCAAAACTTCCGTATTAGTCGTCACTTATTAAATTGGCCGTGGAACGCTCCTGCCCCTACGTCGCGTTCTCCCTAATTACCCCTCGTGCTTTCCCTCTCTGTTCCGCCTTCGTACTTGACTCCGTCTCCCTTTTTCACCCACAGTTCCTGCCGTTCTTCTCAGAGATTGAATCCCTTTCTTGACCAATCGATACACGTAGTGCTACGTGAAGCAATCTACCCCCCTTTTAAATCATTCGACAAGCCATCTCACCTACAATGGCCACCAACGGAGACTCGGCGACCAGCCCCGCCCTGGTCGGTACGGAACACATTGCTGACATCCTGGAGAAGATGCAGCAGACTCAGGCTGAGCTTCTCGCAGCCGTCAAGTCGTCCATTGCGGTGCCAGCTCCGACCACGGCTTCTGCGCCGGCTTCTGCTCTGAGCCCTGCAGCATTGTCCGCTCCGGTCACAATCGCCAACCCAGTGTCGGAGCCGCCAGTCGAAGCCGACAATGCTTTGGCCAACAGCCCGATACTGTCGTCAAGCCCAAAGTCCACCTTCACCTCGAGGATCGTCCTGACGTGAGTACCGCAACCGCTCTGCCAATCCCATACGTGCTGTGTGTTGATATCGACCCCTAGGACGTACCCTAAACAGATCGGCGTCAACCCGTTTCTCATGAACTGGGGCGCCGAAGATCCTACAGAGCGTGGCCCCATCGTGGTCTCTCGCGCTCCATCGACGATCCGCCGGCGAAACGGTGAGCTTCCTTTGGTACATGTTGTTGACATTATTAGAGCTTATTTATTGCTGACGAGATTTCTTGATACAAATAGCCATTGGCGGTAAGACGCAATTGTTACAGATCTTTCTCTGCCCATATGTATGTACTAACATAATTTTCTTCTAGCTCACGGAGGTTCGTACTCGATCTACTACGCCCTTGCGGTTGCGAGCCAACAATTGAATGCCGAACATCGGTTCGTAGACCACGTCCTGGTGGGAACTAAGTTCAGTCCCCTTTAACCAAGCTAATCATTGACAGTCCCGACTTTACCAACACCGAGCCGGCGGTCAACATCGGACCATTCCCTCAATGGCACGACAAGAAGAAGATTGTTGCCATGGATCCTTGGGGCCACGTACCTCAGACTCTCTTCAAGGATGTGATGGATAACGACAATGGTGCGTTTACCAGGTGCGATAGGCGATATCGGTTTTGAGTTGAGAGCTAACGATTGTTAAGTTGACATACGCCCTACAATTGCAATCACTAAGGCGCACATGAGAGTTCGTTTCTACCATTCCCGGCCCAAGTGTGCTCGACTGTACTAACCGGTGCCTCCAGCTTCCAGAACTTGAGGAAAGTGTCCGTAAAGGCAGACTGTGCGTGTTGATATCACCTTCGAATATTTTCCTGTACCCACCTCGCGATAATCTATTGCTAACGACCATGCCGCCATATGTAGTGTTCCTGATGGGAAGGTGTGCCTCAATGACAAGGGCGAGTTGGCAGTGACAAAGTTCGCTGTTGAACCAGTAAGAAGCTCCTATTTAGCTCTCAACAGTTAACGATACGTGTTGACAAATGCTATCCTAGGTCTGGTATTTACCAGGAGTTGCTGAGAGATTTGGCATTGGTGAGTTACGTATTCTATCGGCGTGACACATGCGGACATAACCAGACTAACACTATCAGACGAGGGCACTCTTCGCCGGTCCCTTTTCGAACATACAGGCGGCAGCTATCCCGAGGTGAGCTCTGGCCCACGTGCATATAACCTGTTGCTATGGCTCTTGATTGTTAGCTAACTTCATCACAGCTCATCACTCGCGGCGACATCAAGATCTTCCTGCCTCCCATTGGCGGCCTTACTGTTTACTGTTTTGGCGATCCTGCGAAAATGTCAGATGCGAGCGTCCGGCTAGCACTGAGAATCCACGATGAGGTGACTGCCCGCAGTCATTCAGTGAGCATTTGTCTGAGAAATATGAGTTACTAACATGTGTACAGTGCAACGGAAGCGACGTCTTCGGCTCTGACATCTGCACATGCCGGCCGTATCTAATTTACGGTATTGAGGAGGCCGTCAAGGAGGCTCAGAACGGAGGCAGCGGTGTTGTGATCTACTTCAGAAAGGAGGGCCGTGCCCTTGGTGAAGTAACAAAAGTGAGTTGAATCGACTCATCACATGTGGCTCCCTTTCTTTTCGCCGTTGCCCTATACTGACAATCTTTGTTTAGTACCGTATGACCGGCTCCAATCTCTTCGATATATATGGCGAGCCTTTTAATGATGGTTTATGCTAATGTTGAGTGCCACAGTCGTGTACAACGCGAGAAAGCGAGGCGAAGACCGCGCGTCCGACTACTTCAAGCGGACTGAGAACATTGCCGGCGTCAAGGACATGCGCTTCCAGGCTCTGATGCCGGACATTCTGCATTGGCTTGGTATCACAAAGATCGACCGGATGTTGAGCATGAGCAAGTAGGTATATTTCAAGGATATACAACTAATGGTTCGTTTATTTGATCCATCAAAAGCAAGTTGTGCTAATCGGATCGTCTTACAGCATGAAATACGATGCCATCGTTGGCCAAGGGTATGAGCATCACGCCCACAATCAGCAACCTTTCTTCTATCCTACTTTGATACCGGACTAACTCTTATCGCCTCGCCTCTTAGGATTCCGATTCACGAACGTGTCGAGCTTCCCGAGGAATGGATTCCAGCGGACTCAAGAGTGGAAATCGACGCCAAGATCAATGCGGGTAAGATATTACTTACCAGGCCACCATCCTTTTTAGGAAACATCGAACTTTTGACTAACCATTTCTCTTCCTCACTACTCGAAGGCTACTTTACAAATGGCCACCGCATGACAACAGAGGAGCTCGAAGCCGTACAAGGCAGAACCTGGGAAGAGTAAGTCAATCCTGCATTCCGTTTACGTCGCACTCGTTGCCCTTTCCCTGTTGCCTTCCTCTTCGCTGGTCATACAATCCCCCCTTGACGTCGTTCAACATATCATGCAATGGCCGAGTGCTGACCAAGTCTTCCAACCTTCCCCATAGTATCGACCATTGAGCGACTCTGTCATGTCGCTTCCAACCCCCACCAACCTGCCTCAACACTCCAAGGCCGTGCCGCGTAAAAAAGCCTTAAAAACTTGTGTGCCACGATCTGCGGGAGAACAGGTAGAAATTCCCATTTTATTGGTTAAACTAGGCCTTTTGTTCTTCTACCTGCGTGTCTAATAAAACAAAGCATGTACAATCGATTTGTCTCTGTTGCACCATATGACCAATCACTTGAGGCCTTTGTTTTATCGCGCGTTTTTTCTTCACCCAGTCACAGACGCAAGAAATCCCCACAATCAGTTACTTGTCAGCCCACTCCCGCGCTCCCACGAAGCACGCAAGACGACCAGTTGGATCTCGCCATACGTCGTACATGGGCAAGACTTGACGAACCCATTGAGCATGACTGTGGGTTGCAAAGTGCGGGATGCTATCCTTTGCCAATCAACATATCATTGTCCATCGAATGAGACGGCGTGCTGCAGCAGCCAGTATCTCTTCTGTTGACACATCTTGTTTTCTGATAAAAACCGGTATTGAATTTTAGTAAAGCGCCATTTTGAGTGTGTACGGAGTATTGTACATTGGTCCCGCCCATTGTACCACCATCATAGAATTCTCGATCCCACATGTAGCGCTTGTCCACTCAGCCACTGTGTTTTCCAGTCAACAGTCCTTTTTTCTTCTCCACGCCTGCGTAAATGGTGCACATGCACTGCTCCCGCCAATCTCGTTTGCCATGTAAAGATGATTCCCCACAGTGCGGAGCGAGAAAGCCTTGAGGGAAGGGGAAGGAGAGTGTGATGCAGCAGTGCTGCCTATTTTGCCCAGGGCATTGCCAGTTGTCTTGCTCGTGACCATTGAGTTTTTTTTTCGGTGCTTTCCAACAGAGAGAGGGAAAAGCAAGGTGTGTGGGGGATACATACATCTCATGTGTACAAGCTGTATGTACAGTGTACTTGGATTATGGCAACTTGTGTATAATATTCTGAATATTAGGTATATATATATAGTTATATATATGTATATATATACACTTTTTTTTTAAAAAAAAAATGTAAAAACAAAAGAGTATAAATATAACGAAAACAAACACACACAGACACCAGTATATTTTAAAACCAAAGCCGAGTTAATATTACTATAAACAAGGCATCTCTTCAGCCATTTATGTTACAATCCGGTGACAGCGGCCGGCGGCATTGTAGCAGGCGCGTTCAATGGTGCCAGGCCATACTTTTTCAACAGAAGTTAAAGGACAACGTAACGCGACAGGAAGAGGATTTACGGAGGGAGCATAAAAAAGTCAAACAGGAAACGCACGAAAGACGACAGTGTGACCAGGTTCCCCTTAGGACAATGGACCGGGAGAAGTGCTGCAGCATATGTCATTTCGCCGCAGGAGGACACAGAAAAGACCTCTTGTTGGGCTTCATCTGTCGCTCTATAGAGATAGGATGCAAAGGAAAGCAGTCTGTATATGCGGCCGTATTTCATCTTTACGTTTCGAATCAAATTGGCGTCGTCTGGTCTCGCCCTTTCAAGACTACAATGGCATGGACGGCACACAGACAATGGTGGGCTTGGGCAGAAAAAGTAGACATATACGTAGGAAGGGTGCCATACATTACAGCCGGTGTGACGCAGCACACCGGCGACGATCAATTTACTATAATAGAATACAGTGGCGTCGTAGTACGATGTACCTGTGCAGGTGCATTTATACGATTACGGAGCTGGGTACCGTGTATCATCGTTGCATGTACGGAATTGTAATCAGGGCATCTCGTAAGGATTTGTGTCGTGTAAGGCTACAGGTGATCTTTTGTCATTCCAGGCCAGAGACGCGGGTGGGGGCGTATGAGTTTCTGTTGACATGACATTGTTGCAAGGAAAATGTACAATGACAAGAATACAAGTCAACGTATTCCCGGTTAAATTTTAGCGACGCCTAGGCAGGACGGGATGCAGAGCAGAACAGTTGAAGGCTTTTGGCAGGATTCTGTCGTGCAAAATGGAACACGTGATGGCAATGAAAGGGAGGGATCAAGACTTGGAAGTCAATGACGAGGTAGACTTGCTGACCGGCTGCTTGCCGTACTGGCCGCTGCCGGGTAAGGGCGAAGCGGGAGGTGTACGATGTAATACTTCGTATACAGAGACTCGAGAATAATGGATGGGCCAGAGTGTGCACGCTGGAGCAACGGCTGAAGTTCCTTGGCAGCAAGAGGTTTATGACAAACGGAGCAGAACGTAATATAACGGTAAAACACCGGCAAGATGATTTTCGAAGACACGGAATATGACGCCTGTACAAAGGTTGCCAGCGTATCATTCAAGGTTCTTCTCTGAAATCACAGCACACTGCGCAGTACACACAAAACACGGAGATCGAACACGACACGGGGAATCGTAGTTAGGAGGAAAGAGTGATGCGGGCACATGCTTGGGCTTGTCAAATCACTGATGTGGAGGTTGAGGCCGGTCAACGGACGTTGGACGCCGCTGACATGAGACAATAGCAAAAAGGGGGAGGCGAGTTCGAGACACTTCTCGGACTTTGATCATCACACTTTTTCCTCTTGCCTTCATGCCGTCTTGTTAGCGTTTCTTTTTGCTGACCCCCAGCGTCCTCCTCGACTCAGAACGCCTGGAAATCCTTGTTAGCTTCCGCAATATCTTCCGAAATACGCCTAGGTCGCTGATGCACAAACAAAGATTTTAAGGAATAATGCCCCTTATTTTGTCTTCCTTTGGCGCACGTAGTCTCGCGACCATTCTGTCTGGGGGACCAACAAGTTTAGTATGTATTGGGCAATCACTCGCTGAGGAGAAACACTGTGTCTCTCCACTTGAACAGCGCAGAGCCAACGTTGTAGTAAGATGCAATACAACAAACAGACAAATCAGACACTCGAAAATGAAAAATGGCTCCGTCCACGTACATGTACATATGTATTTGTACCCAACTGGGTTTCGAATTCGGGCGTGTGACGTCCGGTCACCAGTCTTCCATGGGGCAGGTCACTGCGAATGAGACGTAAGTACGAAGCAAACGGTTTTTGGTTCGTAACGAGAGAGACGGTTGCACGCGAAATATGTTGTACAAACGACAAAAAGGACGTGACTGTGGAGGGTCTAAAATAGCCGACGCCCGACCGAGCCGGCCGCGCCGACCCTCTTCCCCGGATAGGTAGTCCAGTTCGGCTGGTCCTTAGCTTTGCTCGAAATATGTCTGAAATGTAGAAATTATGGCTACTGGGCGAAACCTTTGTGCCAGTTCTCCGTCAATACGGAGTACAACGAACACAAAGTGCTGCACGCCGTGTAGTGTAGCAGCGAAGGAATGGCCATGGACGGGTCGCAAAGGACTTGCGCGTTCTGAACATGGCACGCAAGGGATGACAGTCTGTCCCTGAGAATCGCGCTGGGCCTGGAAGACGTATTCTCATTGGGGTTGACAACACCAGCTTCACAAGGGGGCGATGGCGTCCGCCCCTTCCTAAAGTGCTGCCACACCACTTCTAGGGAGAATGAGGCGCAAAAGAGGGAAGTGGCACTCCGCCTTCCGCCTTCGCTTTCCGCCTTCCGCGTCTTGCTTTGTACCTGACCGTTCTGCCAGTCGCTGTTTCCCTACAAACAAACAACTCAAACGACTTGTTCGCCGATTCGGAAGGAGTTGTCAGTCTCCTCTCCTCTTCTGCCCACCCCCTCTTTGTTTCTCCTCACTTCCCTCTCGTCCTCTTCGTATCTTCTCTCTGAGCTGGCACCGCACGTCCTCTCCTCTTTCTCCCCTCTTGCTCATCGCATCGCTCATCGACAGAGTTCCAGACACGCACAGTTCAGTTGGACCCACACCACCTCTTGAAAGGTGGTAGTGCGTGCCCAACCCAACGGTCGACACTCCGTCCGGGTCTCACAAAAAGGGGGCGGCCTGGCCAGGCCACCCGCTAAGTTACCCTTTGAATTGGCACACACACACACACAGAGTGGCAAGGATTGACAGGGAAAGCAGCCAACTGTTGGCCTATGGTACAGAAGTGAGAGAAAAAAGACACACCACAAACTGCGGAGAACACACGGAATAGTATCGCTGTATCTCCCTGTGTGCTGTGCCTCTTTCTGGTTCTGCACTCAGCGCACGCCCTGCTTCAGAAACCATTGGATGAGAACAGCTCTCGGAAACGGGACAAGAGGCCGGATAACAACGCAAAGACCGCAATCACCACAACAAAAGGACCATGGCAGAAAAGCACGCAAAGATTACCTGCCTGGGAAGGCTGCGGAGCTGCGCATATTCATTGTCCACCTCCTTTCCGTTTTCCTTTCCTCTCTCTCTTCCATTTTCATCAGGCGCGTGCACCACGTGCATCACGCATCTGCCCATGCTCCCTTACCATAATTCGGCATAGTCCGTTTAAGGGGAAACATCTGCCGGTAAATGTAATGACAACAGTGCGTCAGTTGTCTTTTTTGTCACTGATTTATGTGTGCTGACTGTGGAGAGTGTTCTTCCGTGCTTCTGGGACCATCCAAGTAATTTTACCTCATGTCAACGCTTATTTTTAAGGAACAAAAAACTATCCAAAATAAGATAACAAAGAGCGGAGAAAGAGAAGAAACGGCTCCATATCCATTTGCTGATCGTGAAAAGCGGTGACTGATGGAAAGGCATCGAGCTTCGTCGCCCAACCTCCACTCTTATTATGAATCTCCATATGTTGTACACCGCCCACCCGTCTCACTACAGTTTTGTCACGGGATCCTGTCCATCGACTGCGCGTGGGGTCATCGATGCTTTTCGTCGTCTGCTCTCTCGATACAACATGTCTCTCAAATCACCTAGCAAAGGGATCTTCCAAGCCGGGACGCGACCTCAGAAGACAGCTGCACGGAATCTGAACTGAACAAAAACAGCACAAGATGATCTGGGGTCAGACGTGAAAAGTTGGTGTGGATCATCACACTGTTGTGTTGGCGTCTTGGGGCCTGGCCCGGCCTGGCATGGTTTGGCGTATCTTCCCGTCTCGTCTGCTGTCATTCACCCCCTGTTGACTTGTCACTACTCCCCCTGTTGGTCCCAGGTCCCGGCGATGCATGGGTGCGGGTTCCTGACTTTTCTGGGGCTTCCTTTCGTTAACTTTTCTTTTTCGGTCTCTCCTAGTTCGTCTTATCCCTTTTCGTCGGCCGCTCACTATTTGACATTTTTCCTTTTGTCATTCAATATCGTTCTCTACTCAGGACTCCTGACTTCCTTCTTGCCCTGTTCTTTTGCTGGCCTTCTTTCGTTCTCCCGCGCTTCCACCAACCCTACAAAACCCCATTCAGCTGAAACCCCTGTCCACCTGAGCCCAACAAAAATAAAATAACTAATTAAAAAACACATCGTACTACAAAAAGAAATAAGAACGGAGGACAAGGGGTGAAATAAACCGGTGTCAAGTTTGGAATAATGCCCATCCACAATCGACTGGTATCTTGGATGGATGGGACGGTGGATGTGTCGTGGTGGTGGCGTGGTGGGAGTGTGCCAGACCCCCATATGAGAGTGAGGCGCGAGGCATCAGGGCGTGCAGTTGTTCGTATTCCTCTCTGTCTTTTCATGTTTTTTTTTTCCCGCCCTTTACTCGCGACTTTCCATTAAAGTTCAACACCCCCCTATTTTCTTTGTAGCTCTCAGGTCTTCTTTTCTCTCTTTTTCTCTCCATTTACTTTTGTCGCCATGCTTCGAAACTGATTCCTCCCGCTCCATACTTTATTCTCGGATACATATTGCTGCGTCCGACGCGTACGTGTTGCAAGTCTTATAGTACCCTCGATCGGCTTTCAAATAACCTGTTACATACAACATACTTCTTGTATATTTTTTATTTAATTTATGTCGACGCTTCTATCGTTCTTTTATCTTTATGTTTTACTCTCATCCTCCTCTCTTCATATAATCTGCTTCTCGCACGACATTTGACATCTGGCATCGCTGAACCATCTCTACCGATGACAGGCAGTAACCGCCCACACCCATAAAGATCACATTGAACTGAACGACATCACTTCTTCACAGCACCTTCCACAAACATCAACACAGTGGCACAATATCCTAGATCGGATCCTGAAGAAGACAGGGTCGTCTTCCATTCCATCTCCTATTTCAACTGACCGTTGTTTTCGATATTTATCGACCCTATTGCATTCATACAGCCTTTTTTTATTGCCATCCAAATTGTCAACGCCGCGGTCGATTCCCGCCAAAACACCCGATCTGTGTGCACCGGTCTATCAACGGCACCAAACGCTAACGACGTCATTTTGCCTGGTTTTGTTGACATTGCACATGGTCTTTTCTATAAGACTTGCACTTGCCCGTAACAATGCAGCCACGAACATCGTCTCGATCTTCTGGCCAGAGACGCCCGCGCCTACTCCGAGCCTCGGTCACTGAACCCTCTCTCTTCACATCCTCCACCGGCAGCCACGCCCTCGATATGGCACTGCCCAGCTCCTATCGCAGCAGTCACAACAGCAGCGGCCACACAAGCCCAAGCGGCATTGAGAGCAGCAGCAACAGCAGCAACAACGGCGTCCCCGGCTACAGCAGCTACCGCCGCGCCGCCGACCTCCTCAATCATGTCGCGTACCTCTCGTCCTGTGCCACCTCGCCCGTTGCTTCGTTTTCGAGCGGCGCTCTGTTTGACCGCATGAGTAACGGCGGTGGCGGCTCGCGGCGGACTTCGCCGCACGGCAGCGAACGCCGCTCGTCGGCTGCAGCCGTTGTTGCTAGCCGCAATGGCACGACAGGCGTCAGCAGCACCGGTCCCGGCGGCAGTGGCATGCGATCGGCCGGCGACTCTTCTGTCGATGCATGCCGCCGGCGGGCCAACACAGACGAGGTGTTTGGCTCGTCACCGGCCTCGACGCACACGAGCAGCTCTCTCGATGATCTGCAACACAGTCCTTGTAAGTCGTGTCCCTCTTATTCTTGTTTCTTGCGTCTCTGTTCCTTTTGATTTACTCTTTACTGACTCCCTAGGCTCGGCAAACTACTACAGCTTCCCCAGCTTTGACATATACGACGACAACCAAGACAAGGAAGACGATGACGTTGACAACTAGACGAGAGTCTAAACTGAACCTTTACAGCTCTACAACAAGCGACAACAAATTGAACCTGAAACAAATCACGAAGTATAATGACCATACAGAGACCGCACCAATTTTTACACATTTTCACACGACACACTACACACTACACACTACACATATACCCCAGACACATCACTCCGCTCGTCAGCCACGGCTAAAGCTCGCGCCTTCATTTTATTTGAAATTCACCGTCTCTCCCACTTTTTTTTTCGACACACGACTTTATTTTAACCACGCAATTCAAATCGGACACAGCTAGAGGAGATGACGAAGGTGACACGTAATTGACAATCCTTGAAATAGGATGTCGAATCGAGTTGCTCTATAGTCTAACCTTGCTGTTGTCCTACTCTCTGCCTTCTTCGACCCCTGGAGAGACATCTTCATGGGCGTTGTAAGCAGGATTTTATTGGAAACAAGAAAAGGAGAGTTTGCAAAACAAATGGCAAGCGCCAGGGTCCAGTAAGAAGAGAACGGACGAGAATCCAGCGAACGGGGAGACGTCGACGCGGCCTGGAAAAGCCAGCGTCCTATTTCGCCGTTTGCATCGTCAACATTCTCTTTCTTTGGGACTCTAAGCTGCCACAAATCGTTGGAGAAAAAAATAACGGGAAGAGACTGGAGAAAGAACAAATGAAATGAGTGCATGGGTACTGGTTGTTGGTCATGGGCGTTTTTTATTTCAGGATATCACTGCACACTAAAAAGTACACGAGAACCATGATTCCATGACGTCCACGATATAGAAAAGAAAACGCAAAAAAAGATAGCATGTTGATCGTTATACAAATACCCAATCCATTTCCACTTCGTTCATTCGGCCGAACTGCGAGCGTTTTGACTTCTAAAGCTAGTAATATGCCTTTAGGACAAGACATGGCACAAGCATAAGAGCAACACTGCTTGCCTTATATGCAGCCCAAATAATGGCTTACCAACTGAATCTAGCTACATTCCTCTTACGACGCGTTCGTAACCGAACGTATAGTATATTTATTCCGGGAGCATAAATAATCACTCGCTGATGTTGGCTGCTCATCTGGCAACGAAAGACAAGCAGTCAAACATAGTATGCCTTGCTAGAGTGTATATTGTTTTCGATCACAAGGCGGCACGACGCCGCAATATTGATTAGGCCTGGGACACAGCAGGCGAACAGGAGTTCACGATCCTGATGGCAGCGATGAAGTGTCGAAGATGCGGTTGCGTCCTACGGTGGATCAATGATACTGACATAATATATCGGACATAACGATATCAGGAGTCTTGCCTCATTAGTAGCATCTTTACTGATAAGCATTTATGCCGTCTTATCGCGTGGCCCTGACGGTCCAGTTTAAATTTGAGAAGCCCTAACTGCCTCTCAGCCAATGGAAATTCGCCATTACCAAAAACAAGCCCCACCGCTTTTGCTCAAAAATTTCGCCCACAGATTCTTTCGCGGGCGTTTTGGTTCTGTAGCCCCAGTCTCTGTGCGTTTTGGCTGGCTCTTTCCCTCTGTCACGCTTCTGTGTGTGGCAGACCCTCCCCTCTTTTCCCTAAGGTGCCTCTGAATTTTTTTTCGGCCATTCCCATTATTTCGCTTTTCAATATTCCCCGGCCACGAACCCTCACACTCTTTTTCACCTCTTTCTCCCATCACCAACCCACCCGCCTTCCACGAACCCTTCCATCAAGTCACGACAACATAGTCTGCAAAGATGGCGGTCGGAAAGTACGACACACGAATAAATCCCATTTGAACGTCCTTGCGACTTTGCGTTTCGGCGTCTCTTCCAAATTCCTCTCGGCCTCGGAATCTCTCGCGTGCGATCTCGATTTGTCTCAAAAAAGAAAAACATCGGCTCCGTGGACTCTTGACTTTGTTATCTTTGGCAATGCTTTGCCTCCTGTCCTCTTCGACGAGGGCTCTTCCGTTTTCTCCCCGACTACCGACAGTAACGGAGCGACACAATATGCTGGCTGGACTTGGGGCTGCAATATTGATGGGAATTTAAGTTTTGAGGTCCACGGAACCAATGCGACTTTTGCAAAGATAAATCAGAGAAACGCACAAAGACGATGACGGGACGAGAAGGACACGGGAGAGATGGAAACGGAAAGACGACGAGATGAAACCTTAAACCGAACACCATTTGCTGACGGTTTGAACTCTTACAGGAACAAGAGATTGTCCAAGGGCAAGAAGGGCCTCAAGAAGAAGACCGTCGACCCCTTCACCCGCAAGGACTGGTACGCCGTGAAGGCCCCTACCACCTTCGCCACCCGGGAGTAAGCAATTCCTCAATCCTAGATCTGAATTTCGACAACGGGCAGGTCCGAACAATACGAGATGACAGGTTCTAACTATCCCTCCTTTTACAGTGTCGGCAAGACGCTCGTCAACCGCACCTCCGGTCTGAAGAACGCCAACGATGCCCTGAAGGGCCGCATCATCGAGGTTTCCCTTGCTGATCTGCAGAAGGATGAGGAGCACTCGTTCCGCAAGGTCAAGCTCCGGGTTGACGAGGTCCAGGGCAAGAACTGCCTGACCAACTTCCACGGCCTGGACTTTACCTCGGACAAGCTGCGGTCGCTCGTCCGCAAGTGGCAGACTCTGATCGAGGCCAACATCACGGTCAAGACCACCGACGACTACCTGCTGCGCCTGTTCGCCATTGGCTTCACCAAGCGCCGCCCGAACCAGATCAAGAAGACCACCTACGCCGCCTCTTCGCAGATCCGCGCCATCCGGAGAAAGATGACCGAGATCATCCAGCGCGAGGCCAGCAGCTGCACCCTGCAGCAGCTGACCGCCAAGCTGATCCCCGAGGTCATTGGCCGCGAGATTGAGAAGTCCTCCCAGGGCATCTACCCCCTGCAGAATGTTTGTTCTCCCTTCGTATCTTTCCCTATTATTTGTAGTTGTTTTCAATATTAACAACACTAGGTCCACATCCGCAAGGTCAAGATGCTAAAGCAGCCCAAGTTCGACCTGGGTTCTCTGCTGGCCCTGCACGGCGAGTCGGGCGGTGGCGAGGATGGCCAGAAGGTTGAGCGCGAGTTCAAGGAGGTTGTCCTGGAGGAGGTATAAATGTGCTTTCCCACACACGTTTTCTGATGTGGGCAGGCCAGGCGTGCTTTATTTTTGGGACGATGGCGGCTTTGAATGAAGACGTTTAAGGGCAGAGGTTGTTTGACTTTATCGTTTGGTGTTTTTATTTTTTCTCTTGTGCTTCCTTTGCTTCTTCCACGTCTCTACAGAACGAGACTATGAAAAGCAGAGACGAGGGATGGGCAAAAAAAGAGAGAGGGCGTTGGTATTATTATGCTACAATACTCTTCAAACCAAAAGCAGTCAGGGACCATCATACACACATGAATAAAAAAAGTTTAATAACAAGTAGCCAACCGACAAGACTTGTGCCCAGTTGAGTAGCGAATCATTCGGTTTGTGACGTCGACACGACGGTAATGTTGGGCTATTGGGCCAATCGCCTGGACGCTCCAGTGCTTGTCCTGCCTGCCAATTACTTTCGGCCCACTAACTCCTTTCGCCTTTCACATGGCTTTATCTGCCAGAAGTACCTCCAGAATCTAGGCTGGTACGTCATTTCGCACGTCCATGTTGATTTTCTTTTACGACACTTCTGCCTCGACACGATTTTTGCACTTTACTGCACATATTTCTGATACATCGGATCTGCGCATGTCACAAAAGCCAACATGACCGAATTAGCACTCAAGATCCTCATCATTGGGCCTTCAAACGTCGGCAAAACGGCGCGTCAGTCTCCCTCTCCTCTCCGACGTCCTTTCGAGATTATCTTTGCTGGGGGTATGCCACTGGCGACTGTTCCTGGATTGTACTGACCAGTAACGACTCTACAGTCTTCAAGCGATATTGCGACAACGACTTCGATCCCAACGATGCATCGGCCACCATCGGCATCGACATGCATATAAAGCGGCTCTCCGTCCGTGGCAAAACTTGCCGCGTCATGCTCCTCGACACGGCGGGCCAGGAACGCTTTCGCACCCTGTCGACAAGCTACTACCGCGGCGCCCACGGCATCGTCTTTGTCTACGACATCACCAACCGCAGAACGTTTGAGCAGATGGACAGCTGGTTCGCCGAGGCCGAAGCCAACACGGCCATGGCTGGTGCCGGGTCTTCAATAAAGTGCCAGTTCTGCCTGGTGGGCGCCAAGGTAGACCGCGCAGGCACAAGTCGCGCCGTGTCGACGGAAGAGGGCGCGGCGCTGGCAGCAAAATACAATGACAACGACGGCGTAGCACCTCTCTTCTTTGAGACGAGTGCACGGACGGGCGAGAACGTACGGGAACCGTTTGTGGCCCTGGTTGACCGGATCGTGGCCTCTGGTGCTATGAGTGCGCCTCGACGAGCAGCCGAAACTGTGTCCCTCGGTGTGGGTAGTCGTGAGGGAGAAGGACAAGCTAGCTATCTCTCCAACTGCTCTTGCTGAGAGCGGCATATGTGGTGTGCTTATCATATCTTCTTGCCTGATTTGTTATTTCCTATTGCGATACCCTTTCCCTATCTTTAGCACCAAAGATCCTACGATAATGTTGCACATTTGTGTTTACGACTATATTAGAAATATCATTCTAGATAGAACATATGTTATTCGTTTGCAAGTGATGTCTATTTGCGAACAAATCTCAAGGAATTGTCTATATCTATGACGATTTTCTGGGTATTTCTTCCACCTCAAAGTGTGGACTAGTAAGTGTGGACCGGTATTGGCCATTTTCCACTTTACTCAATCGTCCGTCGGAGTGAGAAAGCGGACAACGGCTGTAATAGCATCAGTCAGCGAAGGTGCAAGATATACTTTCAACGACAGCAAGGACATACCTTGTCGAAAGGCCTCGGGGTTTTCTGATATCACCCAATGGCCGGCCTCAATGTCGACCACTTCAAACCGCGGGAAGAACTGTCCGATAATGGGCAGCGCCTCATCCGGCACGTAGTGACTCTTGGTGCCGCGCACAAAGAGCGCTGGTTTCTCAAAGCGCACTGCGTTGGTGTCTTTGTACGGAAAATCGCCCAGTACGTCCAGGGCCTTGCCGAGCGTGCCGAGCGGGATGCGGAACTGCAAAATGGTTTTGCCAGCCTCTGGGCTCGGATCGTCGTCGGGCACTTTCACGCGGTGCAGGTTGCCCATCAGGAAATGGCGGATAGTCAGCGATGGCTCGTAGCTCTGCAAAATATTGTCGGCCTCGGCCTGGCGTTTGACGCGGCAGAGATCGACATACTTCATACCGCGGACGTATGTGCCAAAGCTGCTGAGGAGGGCGGCATCGATGGGCGCGTTGTCGACGGGGATGATGTCGCGGACCATGTCGGGCGACTTGAGAGCCAGCACCATGGCCGTTTTTGCACCCCTTGGACGGTTAGTTCCTGAAATGGGAAATTATGTGCCATCAGCAGAGCAAAAGTAGAACTAACCAAACCAAATAAAACTTACATTGAGTGCCCAATAATTGACGGGTCAGTCAGGCCGTGCTCCTTGATAAAGTTGGCCACGTCGTCGGCCATGACCTCATAGTCATGGCGCGCAGCATGGGGGGAGTCACCGTGGTTTCTCATGTCCTACTATGTCAGAGGCCAGCAGGATAAGAAAACAATAAAAGAGGATCTTCGTACAAGAGCATATATTGACCGTCCTAGGTCTCTTGCCAATACTCTGGTCTGTCGTTAGCAAACGGTTCCTGCCGTGTATGCAGTCCCAATCTCGTATAGTTTCTCAGGCACTGTACTTACTTACTTATGCTCCGGTTGTTCTTCTTGGACCCAAACAGACCGTGCAGGACCAGAATCGGACGCGTCTTGTCATCGGCCACCGGCTTCTCGGGCTTGTGCAGGTCAAACGCCAGCTTGACCGGGCCGTCGTCACTTCCGACAGATTTTGATGAGTACGGAGCATGTGCCGTCTGTAAGCTACCCAACACATGTCTCTGACCTGGTTTTCTTGATATCCATGGCGAAGACGAAAGCTGTATGGAGCGGTGTGCCAGTCGGCTGCCCCAGACCGGAGCTCGGGCAGCCATGATGTTGTTTACCTCGAGATGATTTGAGATCCAACAACAGTTGGCTTGAGGAGACAGAACTGTGTTGGTCACTTTCGGTTTCTGAAAGCCCTCAATTCAGTACGACATATCATAAATAAAAAAGATCTGTGCCATAACGCCCTCGGTGCAAATAATAAGCCGAAACTCGGGGCCCTGCGGATATAAACGGCGAATGTCAGCCATAACGGACGGCAATGCACTGACCGAAAAAATATATGTGACTCCGTAGCACATAGTGGGCCCGTGGCTGTCTCCTGCCGAGTTCGGCTTCCAGTGGGTTCCCAGTATTGCGTCAGCCGCCCTTATGGAAGGAACCAAGGCTGCCATGTAAGCGCAACTCTGATTGGCCCATTCTCTCACATTCCAGCACATAACCCCACTACAAGGCTATTAGGAGACGCCTCATTCTGCCTCTCGAGTCCGCCATCAATCCACGACCTCGTTTTGGCATCGCCTTCGCGTCAAACCATCGATGCAGACGGGCCCGACGACACATCTGCTACACGACTGTCTAGTATTTTATTGAGATCGCGTGATTGTACGCTGTACGACACCTTTCTCCCGCCGACCCCGGCTGACCGCGGCTGAATCGAAGTGCCATCCTCTCGCTTCGTCGGATTACGAAAACAGAAACCATCACGTCGTTTATCATTCGCCCGCTATGTGGTCCCGGAGTTTAGGCCTCTTGCTCGTACCGGCCATTGTGCTCCTGCTTCTTATCTCTCCGTCTGCAGCGGCACGCCACCATGTGGGCCGCATCTCTGAGCCGGCCCATGGCTCGTGGGTGCCACGATTTATGCGTCTTGCTTGGCTGCGCGACTCCATCGCCGACTACATCTTCAACCGGGATCGTTTGAGCACTGGTGACCCGCAGCGCACGCAGTGGTATGCCGCTGCCAACTCGGCGCGGTACGCCCAGCAGACCGTGATCCGCTTCAATGTCGCTACGCCAGACGAGGAGGCTGCTCTGGCTGCCGCTGCTCAGCGTCTCTTCCTCGACATCTGGTCCTTCAACAACTTCACGGGCACCGTCGACATCCTGATTGATAAGGAGGATGTGTCATCGCTGTTGACGTTGCTGCCCACGAGCCTACACCGGTCCTTTTCACCGCTTGTGCCAGACCTGGCTGCGGCCGTCCGCGACACATACCCGAAACTGTCGGCCTTGGCCGGCGGTGATGGCGCCGCCTACTTCCCGCCCAAGTCACCCGGCTCGTTCCCGAACGATGAGACTTCCGTCACTGGTGGTGGTGGCACGGACAACATCTTCTTCCGCGACTACCAGCCATACCCTGTGATTGTTCAGTGGATGAAGCTGTTGGACGTCATGTTTCCGTTTGTCAACACGGTCAGCGTCGGCGAGTCGGCCGAGGGTCGCGAGATCCTTGGTCTGCGTGTGGGCACGCAGGATAGTGGATCTGAGCGCGAGCCGTTTGACAGCCACGACGTCGAGGAAGTTGAGAATGTGGACGAGGGTGACGAAGCTGAAGAGGTTGACGACAGCGAGGAGGACGACGGCTTCGTGATCCTGAAGAAGAAGAAGCACAACAAGCACAAGAAGGGCCGGGGGGACAAGAAGAACGAGAACCACAAGAACCACAAGAGCAAGCCGTCGCCACCGGGCGCCGCCGAGCCGCCTAGGAAGAGAAAGACGATTCTGATTACGGGCGGCCTGCACGCCCGTGAGTGGATCTCGTCCAGCTCCGTCAGCTATATCGCCTGGGCCATCATCACCGGCTACGGCCACACCAACATGATCACCAAGCTTGTCGACAACTTTGACATTGTCCTCGTGCCCGTCGTCAACCCGGATGGCTACGAGTATACCTGGCAGACCGACCGTCTCTGGCGCAAGACCCGCCAGACCACCAACTTCCGCTACTGCCGCGGCCTCGACCTTGACCACGCCTTTGGCTACGAGTGGGACAGAAAGACCCGCGACGAGCCCTGCTCCGAGTCTTACGGCGGCGAGTCTGCATTTCAGGCCGTTGAGGCCCAAACTCTGTCTGCCTGGGCCCGCCGCGAGGTCGACGACAACAACGTCGAGTTTAGCGGCTTCTTGGATCTGCACTCGTACTCCCAGCAGATCATGTTCCCTTTTTCCTACTCGTGCGCCGCCGACCCGCCGAATCTCGAGAACCTCGAAGAGCTCGCAGCTGGGCTCGCCAAGGCCATCCGCCTGTCCACGGGCGAGACCTATAGTGTCTCATCGGCCTGCGAGGGCGTTATGAGCTTTGCCAGTGACACTCCCGCCACGACCCGCATCGAGTCCGGTGGCGGCTCTGCCATTGACTGGTTCTACCACGAGCTGCACGCCAAGTACAGCTACCAGATCAAGCTGCGTGACACGGGCAGCTACGGCTTTCTGCTGCCGAGCTCCGAGATTGTGCCCACGGGTGAAGAGGTTTTCAGTGCTGTCAAATACTTTGGTGACTTTTTGCTCGGAAACAACGGTATTGAGAAGTCGTACGAGCACGACGCTGATGTCACGCCCGAAACCGAGACAGAGGCCAAGCCGGTGATGGAGATGCCCAGCAGCGACACTGCCGCCGCAAACAAGATCAGCAAAGTCGACAAGATGCATATCACCGACGACGCGGACCTCGAGAACGAACAGTTTGCCATCCTCCTATCCGGCCGGAGGCGGAGGTGAATCCGAGAATGAGTTCGAGAGACCTTACGCGGTCTAACGGTTTAACATATATACGATGTTATCTTTTTGTCAAGTCTTTATCTGTACTTCTTTACGTTTCTCATCTGTGTTTTCTTTATTTTGTATCATCATGACCTGGCGTTTGCTTTCTTCCTGGTTATTACTCCGTACATAGGACCTTTCAAAATGTGACTTTTGCTATGATCTTTCCATTTCCTTTGCTGGTCTCTGTCCTGTTTATGGTCCAGAATGTAATTGTTGTGTTGCCATCTACGCATCATATGCAGACACTTTAGAGCATTTTATCCCATTGCACACGTCCTCTCCAACTCTGCTCTTCCGATCGGCATAAATTGCGACTTTGTGCCGAAGGAACCTGCAACTCGGACACATCTGATACAAGCACGCTTTAGCAGCACGGCCCGACATACAAGCAAAATACGTTTGCGTGCAGGTCTGAGACAAGAGGCGCGTGTGCTACCCCCACAACTTTTCTTTTGCTTCTCATCTTTTCTTTTTCTCGCAATCACCCAGAGCTAACTCGTCTCATCATTTTCTGCCTATTTTTTTTTCTCCGGCCCCCTCTTGCGCGATGAGACGAGACGGCTAATAAAGCCGGGGGAGGACGAAAAAAAGGAAACGGTAGAAAAGGTAAGAAGGCGAGCGCGACGAAAGGAACACAATGAGACATTAGCGCGGCGCTCGACCCCCTTTTTTGGTTTCTTTCTGCCCGAGTGTGGATGATAGTCAGTCCTACACAAGCCAAATCCTATCTCGTGCAGTTTTGTCACTTTTGTGCTCACAATTTTGCGACAGGCACACTAGGATGTCAAAGCTTTTCTGCATCTCTGCGTCACTCGTATTGCAGGAGCGGGTGAATTTTTGGGGTGCATTCTGCTGCTGTGAAAGATAACGTCGTACGGCATACAATCCTCCTGAGAGGTGTGTGTGTGTGAGAGTGTGATTGTGTGTGTGCGTACCTGTCAGACTCAGGGGAAACGTTTAAAAAAATACTTTTTTTTAAAAAAAAAAAAAAAAAAAAGAATACTTACAGTATCGGATAGAGAAGGAACCAAAACTGAGGTTTATCATCGTGTCAATCCATTGGTGAGACACCGCTAAAGAACCTCGCTAGGTTGATTCCATCCATCAACTGCCCAGTCGCTAAATGCATCCTTAACAAGTCGATTTCGGAGGGGCATAGGACTATCAGTTCCCGGGTCCTGCTCATGGAGGCTCATCTGACCTCACTTTTCCCCTGTCATCGATTGTGATCCCCTGTCCATGCTCTCAATCAGTGTTATCGCCATTGTTGACGGCATCAGCAAACTTCCGGGGTGCTTCCGACGAACATGTTCTCCACGTCAAGTCCTCCTGGGCGATCCCTCTTGGTGCCCCTTTCTCTAGAGCCCTCATTTTGCACGATGTGACGCTTTATCTCACGTTAGACGGTCGAGCGCAACACTGATAGCTCTTGTCAGGTTACGAAGAATCTACATTCGCCACCAAAATCCTCAAGCAAGCGCCATGCGCAATGGAGCCAATCGATACGTCGTACGGAGTCGGAGAGTGTGTACAGAATCAAGATGCCCGTTGTTTCCGTCTTTCAAGCGCTGACCTGAAAACTGCGGATGGGGGCGTTTGGAAATGACTTGGGTTTTCATTTCAGCGTTGTCAGTACCGAGAGACGACTACAATTGTTGTCGACAAGACGCTTGGGGCACAGAGCTTGCTTATCAAGACTGATCTTCGCGTACGTGAGCACAGGAGGCGGACCAAGGCCGGGGTAGAGTAACATCTATTTGTGCTGTTGACGGGGGCACTCGGGCACAAACCCAGATACCGTTCTCTGTCAGTTTTTGTTTCCGTTTCTTCTGCCTTTCCCTCTTTTTTCCTTTTCGCTTTCGTCCTGTTATTTTGGGGGGTCTCGGCTCTGGGCGTCACAATGAGTTGCGTAAGTTACTAGGGGTCCTATTGGATGACCCCAGTATGACAAGGCTACCGTGAGCCTCTTCAAGAACACGAACTACCGGTGAAGCCAATGGAGGTAATTCTTATTGGCTATGGGGCAAGTTCTGAAATGCTCCTTATGTCGTAAATTTGCGCTTTGAGCCCCGTTTCTGCTCACAAAAAGCATCGCTTAACAGCCGGTAGCATCGAAGTCCTAATAGCGTCTTGATTGGTAATGGTAATGGAATCACAGGCAGTGACTTTCGGTGAAAAAGGTCATAGCTATTTGTTGAATGCTGGCATTCAGGGTGAACGACTTGGTCAACAAGTGTGGCCTAACAGGGCCATTAAGAGCGGACTGTGTGTATGCAGGTTACCGTAAATGTCACTGTGCGAACCCTGTCCTCTGGCATTGGCGGGTGACCCAGGCTCAAATTCAGTCTCATTAGGTATACCACAGCCCATGGCACGTACATCAAATTGCTTGGGTCGGCACTGATATGCAAGGCCCAGGTTGGGAGAGCAACCGACAGCTTCTTTAATGGTTGCCGACGTACATGAGATGGAACACAAAATATGCACAGGGCTGTCAACAGGCGCCTCGAGCACATCCTGGCGGTTGGTGGTTATGTGGTGTTCTATGCCACAGCCGTTGCCGATAGACAGCGTTGCGAGTGTATACACTGACTTCTTTTCTGTGTATGCTGTGCTCGAAAAGAAAGTGAGAGGAGAGCTAGGGATGGCCATCTAGATCATTTCTATTGTCTGTAGGTGGCACCTGCAAAGCCAGCAAGGATGTGTTGTATTTTCGTACTGACGACAGAGCCTCAAGGATCAACCGCGCAGATATTCTTCTCTCTTTTTTCTTTCCGTCAAAATCTTTCTTTGAAAGTTTGGGAATAGGGTCCTAGCTTTGTTAGAGTTTACTGGCAGTATGACGATGACCTCAGTGTGCGGTCATGACCTGACCCACCCCTCACGGCAGACGCTCTCCTTGGCACTGCTGTACAGCCCTGTATCCCTGACGCTTCCCCGGTTTTCATGGCATTCATACCACCACCATTCGGCCAAGGCGGCATTAGCCTGCAAAAGCGGTTCACCCGCTGTGTCAATGGGGAGCTAAAGCCGTGACAGAACATGCAGTGTTTGCAGAATATGCAACTCTAGGCGGCACCGAGTATGGGAAATCCTCCCAAGCAATTAACTCGCACATTTTTGGAGGTGCCCTGTGCCTTATCGTCTCAAAACGGCATAAGCACGGACGAGAACCGTAGAACGAGGAACAGACGAATGCAATGCGAGAGGGGAAAGTTACAAAAAGGGCAGTGTTCGACCAGTTCACGCAGGGCTTGAGCGTAGTGGTGCCGCGTCACGTCGCATTTTCAGTGTGGGCAGAACAGTCCGCGTGGTGGGGCGACGAACCAATGTTAGGGATTTTGCATCGATGTAGAAAAGTGGTGAGGAGCAAACCTAGGTCAAGGTGAAAAGAGCTTCAACTTTCTCTATGTACCGCAGCGTCAGTGACAGGTAACTTGCGGGCATGTTGATGAAGTTGTGTCCTGTCCTACGTGCCGTGGATAGTTCTGATGAGCTCGTTTGTTGCACCCGACCAGCTTATCTTGCCGGACTTTGCAATGTTTCGGGCCGGAAATTTCTGGAGGTGTATTTGTTGACGTTTGAGTATGAAGTTTTGTGGCATTCGTATTTGTTTCTTCCTTCCCCAACTGGAGACAGTTCGCTAGCGGTCCGCACCCTGGTCGCAGTCTTCATCGACCAAGCCATCTCCCGGCAGGGCGCACAGTCCTCGAACGTCGTGTTCAAGAGGCGCTTTGGACACGAATGGATCCTTTGCTGGCCGGCCACGGTCGGTTGTCGTCGGTCCTGTGACTGTCTTCTCAAACGGCAGCGAGCAAGGTAGATGTGGAGCAATGTCGTACAGAGCGACCCTATATGCCAGTCCGAAAGCTGTAATACTCGCCGGTTTTGCTCTCGGATGTCGATATGGCATGGGGGATTTCCAATCTGTCACACAAGCAACCGGAGTCGCAGTTGTCTCCGATGGAAAAGCTGCTTGTTGACTACTTGGCGCCGATCCTGGGATACTACTGAGGTAGGTCTCCATGATGACCGTCCAGGTGAGATACGAAGAAAAACTGACCACCAGACTGCCAAAGGTCGGGTTGCTTGGTTCGTGAGGGTCGTTGGATACGAGCATTGGAGATTGGTATTGCCCGAGGACATTTAATATGGTGTGAGAAACAAAGGCGGAAAGTAAAATTAAGTCGTCATGCTTCCGGGGACTAGGCATGGGAGTCGAGTGTCGATCTGCCTGTCGTTCGCGTATAATGCTAGAAACAACGTTTTGGCGATGACAAGAGACCAAGATGCGGTGAATCGCAATACAGGGTACGACATATTACAGACGGAAACATTTTGTCAAAACATATTGATCATGCGTTTTCCTACGAAAAGCTTGTGACCCTGTCTGGCGTTTGCTCTTTCCTCATTGTTCAGCGTTGGTTCACTTTTGTAGGGCCGATGTGACCGTAATGCGAACTACCAGGGCAAGAAAGACCAACAAGTGTGCACGAACCCTCTGCCGCCAAACCAACCAGTGCTTTCCATTTCTGGACCATTTTGTCTGCGGGGGAAGGCACTGTGATACTGATCCTCTCTCGCATGCCCACCGTCCATCGCGTACCAGGCTGGGAGCATAGGTGCAAATACAAAGTAAACGCTCCAGGGACCCCAGGCACCATTGGCTGCTTCCCGCTCCCAGCATTGTAACTGCCATTGCCGCCCGTGTTGCCCACACCATCGGGTTTGCTATGGTTCTATGTCGTTCCTCCCCTTTTCTGAATCTTCATCAGAGCCGCTCCTTCCTTCGAAGTCCCCAAATTTTTGTGCCGCTCTCCGTCACGGAAGCAACGACGGAACAGGACATTGGAGTAATTGCACGGCCATACTTCGTACATAAGCTGGCACGGGAGGTTGGCTGCACCAATACGACACGGAACGGCACCAGCAAGAGCGACAGGGGCGGTCGGCACTCAACAGGGGTAAACCAGTCGCAAAGATGTTGTGGTCCGTCTCCAGCACAGATCGCTCCTTCCGCACCCAGGCTGTCCCGGCCACCAGGAAAGCAAAGCGCCCCTTTCTTGCCACCAGCCAATCGTGCATCAAGCCACAATGGCACTGCGAAGCGGACAACAGAGAAACACAACACCAGTATCAATGGAGGCAGTCATAGCTTTCACACAAGCTCGCCAATGACACCGAACGGCGCCCACGTCTCCACCGCGGTGCATGTCTGTGCCCTGCTGCAACTTCACCGTGAACATTTACTGCAATCCAGGTTCGTTGCTAAAGCCCATGTGATGGGAGTTGCTTTTCCCCTTTCTATTCGCCTTTTGTCAGTTTGGCCATTGGTTTTCCTCTCAAGCCTTCACGTCGTATCTCTGAAATTTTGCTTCCCCAGACTCCATATTTCATGTCCAAACCGTGTGGGGCGACCAGTCCCAGCACGGAGAGGTGTTGCCACTCATTGCGGCGGTGTGCCAGAAATGGCAACTTGAGAACTTCTTTTCAGGACATAGTACCATTCGACCAAACTCATGAAATGTCGAGTCTGGGGCCAGTGGTCGGGCCAGCCACTGTTTGGCTGTCGCTCCCTCGTGCCTCTCTCCCGCCACGGGTGGCTTGGGACATTGGCTCATGCGCTCTTCAGGAGAGTTGGTATCACAGGCCAATAAACCGAAAGGAGCATCTCCGAGCTCAATACTCCTTGCTCCGCCGCCGTATGCTGCAGTGCTTCTGCTCACCAACGAGGTAAGGCATTACATTACATGGAGCAAAGCAAACTCAGACGAAAACAGCCTGTCATCTCCTTCGTGTACAAAAACGTTGAGAGGCTCTTCTCAACACAGCATGGCGAGCAATATGAGACATCGGAACGGGGTTCCACTCCACCTCCAGGATGAGTTCAATGCTCGGCTGACGGGCGCCACTTCCTGAGGAGGATGATGTGTCGACGCATTTAGCCTATGAAGAAAACTTGCAAGGATCTGCCAATGGCTGCTTGTCCCCAAGCAGTCATATTTCTCCTAAACGGCCCGTCTCACCCAACTGTCAGCAAGAAGCGTTTTGGTCCTGAACGTTTTGTGGAGGAAGTCGCATTCACCACCAATTTAAACTGACAGTGCTGCATTGCCTAACTATCTTCAACACAAAGAAAAAAAACCACCGACCTCCCAGACATACTAACCGTGCCACTTCGGAACGGCTTGTGGTGAATGTTCTATTCTGATCGCCGTGGTGTTCCGCCTCCTCCTGCCGCCAACAGCACAATGGCGTCGCTTGCCAATTTTGCATTACCAACATAAAGGCACAATCTCTTCCGTGCCTCACCAGCCCACAAGACACAAAAATGAAAGGATTCGCCAGATTTCTGCAAATCGTACCGGCTTCCCATAATCGCGTCGTCGTTGCTGGTCGGCATGGTTGGCCAAGTATGCCCAACACCAATAGCCTCGAGCTAAATTTCTTTGTCCACAGGTTCCAGCATCCTGTTTGTCTTGAAGACACCGGCTCGATGACACCCCTGGACGAGCATGCAACTGCGGCTATGCCTTGAACTCTCGCGCTCTTGGCCTATTTGTTTAGCACTGTTTGAAAGGCGAGGTGCTCTACGCCCTTCATTACCATGAGTAAATCTGGGCAGAGCCTGAGCGTTTGCTTTTGGAGAGGATAAGAGACTTGGGGTATTTGCTTGGCCGTTTCAATGCTTCTCACATGGCTTGACAAGGGTTTCATGTGGTGCAGAATTCATTGTGGACCTCCCGCCGATCTCTAACCCCTGTCTGAAGACGACACCCTCTTCTTGAGGAGCAGAATGATACCCACCTCCGCTGCACAAAAAGAAAGAAAACAAAAAAGAGGTAAAAAACCAGATGAGACAGACAATGGTGGAGAAAAAGTGGTGTCTAAGAACAAAGCAGCGAAGGACGTTCTCCGTTTCCTGACTCCACCAACCGGCATACGACGTCCGCTCCACTTGTACCTTTGGTCTTTCAACAGGCGCGGAATAAAGGTACGTGTACTTCAATAACCTCGAAACTTCGACAGAAAACAACAAGCTACACGCGAGCACACGTCGCCAGCACGCTTTGGCAATTACCGTGCGAAATATATACAGAAAAAACGGCCAATATTGCTTCTTTATCTGTCTCTTTGCCTTATCAGACCAGCCATGACGGTCCCCGCATACGGTTTTTGCTTGGCTTCAACCTAGTATTTCTGTCTCATTCTTCTAACTCGCTTTGATCGCGATGTCCACAGCAGGGTCTCCCGTCTGGCTCAGAATATATCAAGGCATGGGGCAAAAGAGAACTTCGCGAAGGCCTCGGCGACCCTTTGGCCCGTCCGTTGCCTTTGTCCTCAAAGTAGTTGCTTGATCGATTATGTGCGTCTTCAAGGGAGTATTTGCCGCCTTCGTCAAAAACACCTCCCGCACCCTGCGGGCCATGTCATAATAGCCGTGTTAAGCACTCGAGGCGCTCGACAAGGGACGAAGATGTTTGCTCTACTACGAGATGTGCGTCAGTAAGAACTTCTCACATTGGGATGCGCAGGTCTCTTCACCGCGGTCCCCACCCACAATTGGTTTTGACATGGAGTACACCTTTAGATTCCTGTCGGATTCCTCTCACCATTTCTGTCGCCCACAGCCTTTTTTTGCAACATAGTGTCCTCTCACACCCATCTGGGCCCGTTAATATTAATTTTCGCTTGCTTTTTGCATTTTGCATTTTACCGTCGCCCGCGTCGCACGCTTGCCCTGGTTTGCGTATGGTTTTGGAAAAATAACACCTGCTTGATATACTGTCGATGTTGCTTCTCAGTTTTCTGTCTCTATGCTTCTTTTCTTTGCCTCTTCCTTCTTCTCGTGTTGCTCTTTGACCTTGCTTTCGCCTGTTCCATCTCAATTTTCCCGTCGAGCTAAACGATGCGAAATGCTGTTCCTTCACTACCGGCCCGTCAAAGAATAGCCTTCGTCTCCAAATTCGTCTCACGTTCAAACACTGCCAACAACATCAGGCGCGTTGGAACCTATTTTGCCAAGCTGACGAGCCCTCGGATCTTTCTCCATCTCTGGCATCGTTTGTAATTTTGACGTTCACCACAGACGACACTACTTCGCCCGCCGCCTTTGCCTACGTCGTCTCATCACCGTGCGCCAGCATCTCCGTCTCTCTCTACTACTCCATAAGTGGCAACGGCCTGTTCATCACGCCGCTCACGCTCTTACACACTTTGTCCCCGGCTCGATATTCTATTATCACTGTCTCACCCTTGCCATACGCTTCGGCATCTGTCTGTCGCTTGGGCTTAAGCGCATAGACCCTGATCTGGCTCGGCTTCGACAGGGCAGGAGAACCTGCAGCATTGTAGGTACGTGAACATCCAGCCACACCTATGTACAAGTCTCCAGATACCATGAAACCCCCCGGTCCTCACAGACATCGGCCCTCCTTCCCAGCCCAGCCCAGATGTGCACGAATCATTTGCATGATGAACCCATCTCCTAGTTCGCGCAGAATGCCTGCGGAGTATTGTTTTCTGTTGCTTCTCTGTAAGGCGCAGGGGTATTCAGTCCAGAGGCGAACAGCCCCCTCCCTCCTTTCTCCACCCCAACTCCGTTCTCTTGCTGAAGTCAGAGGTTCCTTCTATCCTTCTACAACCCTCCTTTCTTGTTGGACCCTTGTCTCCTTCTCTTTGTATTTTTTTCCCTTTTCAGATTGCGCACGACGTGCTTCGTACGCTCAAGCATCTTCTTCTCACTCTTCCGTTGTTCTGTCTGTTGGCCAGTACTGTGCCTCGTTACTTACTCTCGTTTTTTCCCTTTGTCAGTGTTACGCCGGGCGCATCGTTGTCTGCGAGAGTGAAGGAGAAACAGTGTGCACGCTTCGAAGCTGTCGATCACAACCAAGACGCTCTGTTCTCGCCATTCCTCATGATCCCAGCGCTACGCCCCGACCGCCGCCGCTCTTTTCATTCTCTGGTCGTTTCAAAGTACTTGAAGACATCGGTGCCCTCACCGCAGAGTTAATTTTTGTTCCCTTC